AGGTCGTTCAGTTTCAAAGATTTTAGTAGTTTCTAATGTATTCGTGCGAGCACTACTAAAAACAAAATATTTTCGATCAAAACCCTGAAGTAGCAATTTTGGCGCACATTGTTTCCCTAAAATTCTAGTAACCAATATAACATTCCAGATTTCTGTATGTACAATGTATCAATAATGCTTATGGCAAATGATCATCGCTATTTCATTGAGAAAGAGGTATGTTTTTCTTCTATGAAAAAGATTGCTATTGACCTCGACTGCTCTTTCAATGACCTATGTAACCATTTTAAGGAACAGTGAACGTGATGATGACAAGTTTAAAACGAAAATACGGTGACCATTCTGTCGAATTTATTGCGATCTAGCCACGTGGAATACGTTCTAACAGATTCAAATACAACGTCCCCTGCTAAAAATGTCGCTCAAACCACTACACGAACAGCATCAATTTCAACAAGAAGATCATGCAATTAATATTGTTTCTTTAAAGTTTAATTGTTGTATAGTACAGTTTGTATTCTTGTGAACTATTTGAACTGCTGAACTACCTGTATATCTTATTGATACATAACTAGCTTTGCTACCAATTAGTAATTATTTGTTTCATTCTCTATTTCAGCTATGACTACTACTCTTTACAACGAGGAAACTATTATACCATCAAATTATCATAAAGGTAAATATTGTATATAATTTGGACGCATTTATATCGAATGATACGAAAAGAAAACCTATATGATGTCAGAGTAACGTTAAGAAGTCGGTAAAATCGACTTATTGACACTAATATTAATAAAAATATTATATTCATGTACTTGATTACGTGAATAAAATCAACAATACTCAATAGAGTAATCCACAAAGGCAATTGATCAATATGACTATGTATATTAGAGGTTGATGAATGCTGAATATGGTCGCATGGAATATAATATAATATAATTCCAACGTTTCTTTTCGTCATTAGTTCGTATTCACTGTCACCGTATAATAATGTCATCCTTCTTCAAATTTCTAGATCGATAATGCTGTGGTGTATGTTTATTGATGATAGAATAATTGTGTCAACAGGTATAACGGTTACAATCACAAGTGCTAACATTAAATTATAATCGCTATTATTATTTTTGCAGTTACAACACTTCTTCATGATAACTCGCCAACTCCAACAGACATCTACTGTTGTTCCCACTGTGATATATACTACGTTTGTGTAGGTAAATATACAGTATTAATTTAACCAAAAAATCTACATCGTTTGCTGAGTTATTACGCGATATTACATAATTCAAATATGCAACTCAAAACAATTTAAGGAACACTTGAATATTCCCAGTTACAGCAAGATCCTTTATTTCAGATAAACCCATTTGTTCACATAATTGACGTTAAACATCTGCACAATGAAACAGATGATAAGGACTTCTTTTGTTACTTGAGTTCTGAAAGAGAGAAAGGTTGAAAATGAACATTTCAATAATGGGTGCGACCAGCTCTTGCAGTAACACATGCAACACAACGTTCACATGGCGTATGTAGACAAGAAAACGACCATCATTGTTCTGCAAAATGAATCTTGACTCATATGTGAAGACGACAGAAAATTACTGCCGACGTTTCCAACGAAAGTCCGGTCTAAACAAGCATTTATGTGGCATGGGAGAAGGACTGGCCTAACAGGCCGGCGCCTAGGCCTGACATTTCTGGCCCTCAGATGGTTCTGCACAGTCGGGTCACTCACATTCGTATGAGGTTTGTTGGTATGAGGTTCATGCGTATGGAATTGGCATTTACGGTTCAGTTACGAAGGGCTGAGATAAGGAGGTAGAGGTCCTCAGCAGGAGTTGTGACACGTGGACGACCTAACCTGGGTGTGCCATGTACTGTATTGCTTTCTCTGAAGTGCTGGGATGTGAATAACAGATGGGCTCACATTTAGCCTTCTCGTAGCTTCTCGCAAGGAAACACCCTCATTCTCTTCAATTGTTAAATGTCGACGTGGAAGCATGCTTGCAAAAGCTGCGACAACGTCATTAGTGAGTGTATTCTGATTACCATAATTGGCAGAATTGATCACAAGGATGCATTGTGTACAGAGAAAAAAACTCAACATTCTTTGAAGCATAAGAATTAGAGCTGGTGTGTGATGAGCAATGTATAATTTTTTTCACCTGATTTTCCCCTGAAAGGATGCGTAATTGTGAAATTGAGGGCGCACCTATTTTCATCTACTGGGTTAAGAATACACACTTGTGCATCTATTTTGAGGTTTGTTTATTCTTTCAATGAGTAGATTTTTACTTAGTTTAAAAGTTTACCAGTCTACAAAATACGGTCGGGAAGTTTATTAATGAAAAAAATGGATTCAACCATCCTCCGCTGTTATGAATTTCTACAATCAATGGAAAGACAATTTTAACAAATTGAATATTTTGCTGTAAAATGAATTTTGTGGAGTTATATATTGTTGTTGCTGTAAGTCATTTTAACGAGGCTGTGTCACAAATACATTGACCTCTCACATGAGCAAAAGGTTTTCATCAAAACCCTTGTACATTGTTGGAAGGTCTCCATTGAAACCCTTGGACTTGAGTGGTATAGGATTGCAATCAAAACACTTGAAGTTTAGTGGAAAGTTTTTGATTAAACACCTTGAACTTGAGTGGGAGGTTTTCGATTGAAACCCTTCGAATTGAGGGGAAGGTTTTCGATTAAAAGCGTTTGATTTGAGTAAAATGTTTTCGATTTAAACTTTTGGACTTTAGTGGAAGTTTTCGATTGATACCTTTCGACTATAGTGGAAGTTCGTGATTGAAACCTTATGAATTGAATGGACGGTTCTCGATTGAACCCTTTGGATTTGAGTGGTAGTATTTCAATCAAATTACTTGGACTTGAGTGGAAGGTTTCCAATTGAAACCTTTGAAATTGAGTGGTAGGATTGCAATATTGGACTTGAGTAGAAGGTTTATCTATTGAAACAATTGAACTATAGTAAAAGATTTCGATTGAAACAGTTTGACTTGAGTGGAAGGTTTTCGATTGAAACAATAGGACTTTAGTTGAAGGTTTTGAAACTTGAATTTGAAACCCGAAACGCGACCTTGGGTTTAATCACATTCCAGGCAATATCTTGTAAAATACTACTAAAACTATTATTGATATTAGATCAAATAAATTATATAAATGTGTCAATAACGAAAAAACCCTTGTATATTGTATAGTATACTGTCATTATATTGATGAACATATCTTTTTCTCTTTCAATTGCAATCACTGCAATG